TCACCACAGAAATGCATCATGCCCTGGATAGGAAGACAAATGGAGGCAATCTCATTATCAAAGTGGACATGGCAAAAGCCTTTGACAAACTGAGTTGGGAATACCTTGAGGCTATTCTGTCAGCTTTTGGATTCTCATCCAAGGTTATCACCCTCCTCATGAGCAACCTCAAAGCCACATCCCTCTCCATCCTTATAAATGGACAACCAGCAGGTTTTTTCCCCATGGAGAGGGGCATTAAACAAGGAGATCCACTATCTCCCTTGCTCTATATCCTTGCAACAGAAGGCCTCACCCGCGCCTTGAATCACCACCTAAACAATTCTTATCTAACCCCTTTTAATGCAGGACAGGTTTCAAGGATTTCACACCTAGCTTATGTAGACGATTTAATTATATTTGCCAATGGTCACTATAGGAATGTTCTCCGGCTCAAAGGGATCATCAACACCTATCTTCAAGCTTCTGGCTAGGACATAAACCTCAACAAAAGCAGATTCTACTGTGGGAAACATGCAAGGCAAGCAGCCATTACAGCAACAACAAGAGCACTAGAGATGAAGCAAGGAATAACACCGTTGCAATACTTAGGAGCTACAATCACAAAGGGAAAGCTGAAGAAACACCATTGTGGCACCCTACTTGATCATTTTGATAGTCACCTCAGCTCTTGGTACAGCAAGACACTCAACCCCATGGGCAGATTGATACTAATTAAACATGTACTATCCTCCATCCCACTTCATACCATTGCAGTCCATACACTCCCCCAATCCATAATCAATTCTCTACACCAAAGGATGGCTCGTTTTCTCTAGGGTGTTAAAGATGGAAAAAGGAAGCACCACTGGGTCAGCTGGAAAGAGATTTGTGTCCCCACAGATTTTGGGGGCTTAGGAATTTGTGCTCTTCACCACATACAGCAAGCCTACTCATACAAACTATGGGAAAAGATCAGATCTGACCAAGGACTTTGGGCAACATTCATGCGCAAGAAATACCTCAAAAGCAACATCTTTAAGGAAAGGCTTCCAGACTCTGCGGTTTGGAAGAGGATCTTTAGAGTAAATGCAACGGCAACTGAACACACAACCATGTCGGATGGCACACTGAAATGGATGGACAAAGATTTCACCCTGAAAGCAGCCTATCTCTCTACCCTGCAACCTGTCCCACCCCAGATACAAAACAAATTTATTTGGCACAAATATCAGACACCAAACATCAAGTTCTTCCTCTAGAAAGTCCATTACAATGCCCTCCCCTTCACACCTAATGTACGAACTCTCTCTATCCCTTTACGAGGGATATGTTTAGCATGCATGAGAAATGAAGATGGATGTAACCACACGCTTCTGCATTGTCCCACTGCCATGGATTTATGGAAATACTACGATGGACCACTACCCTCATCCAACAGTACAATCCAACATCACCTACTCTAATGGTGGACAAGAGCAAGGGGAAAAGGATTAGAAGGTAACCTACGTGCAGTGGTACCCGGTTTTATTGCATGGACCCTTTGGAAGAATCACACCTCGGCCCTCCATGAAGATAGGCAAAACAACATTCATGGCCTGATCAGAACTGTAACCTCTCTTATTCAAAGGTGGTGCTGGATAAATAGGAGGAAAAATGGCTAATCAAGGGACCAAATCAAAACAATGCACTCTGGAGAGGAGATTTCTTTTGGCTTAATGGAAGACGTCTGCTGGCATCCTTAGTTTGATTTTACCAGTTTGTAATCGTTAAACACATTATCCTCCTTTCTTCCTTTACACCTTTGGGGCTAGGTCTTGCCCTCCCCAAACGTATTGTAACTTTGTTCACTATAAATATATATATTAAAAAAAATAACTTTTATAGTAAAAAGAATCCCATTTCCTTAGCGAAATCAGAGAACCAAATATACCCTTAAGGTAAAGATGATCACTTTTAGAATGCATTTAGCATTCAAATAGTCAAGTCTCTAAAATTCAAGAACTGAGGAACAAAAGTCTAAACTTTCACTTCTCGATAGGAGAACTTAAAGCATTGTGGAAAATTCCCCTGCAATGGATATTCTTCGCAGACCTAATAAATTCTTACATTATCCTTTATCTAAAGTGTAAATATATAATTATTCTATGTTAATGTATGCAAGTAACCTAATGAGAAATATAATGAAATAAATTATATAGAGCATAGGTTGGCAACCCAAATATTCTTCTTGAGATTAATGACCATGAGTACTTGAGGCACACGAATGAGATACGGTCATGCCAAGAACCTGTCAAAACCGGTCAGTGCAGTTCAAATGAAACATAATTTAGAGGGTGGTAATAGGAATTTAGTATTCAATGATACTCATTTTTTTGGGTCTCCGATTATGTAGTGTTTATATCCTCATTTTGAGGTGTGGGAAAACAGCTTGCAATATTTTATGGAACTGATCTTAGTAAAGGTATCTCAGATTCCTCTCCAATCGAAAGTTCTTTCTTCTTGCATTCAAGACCTTTGACTCTTTTGGACATATCCTCTTGGGATGCCTATAATTACCTAAGTTGATGAGCCTTTAGCTCCTGAAAAAGATACTTATGTTTTCGCAACTATTGGTTTTCTGTTTTAAGCTGGTGGAGCTACAGTAACATAAGGAGGCTTAGTTTTTAGTTTGGGATCATATTGAGGATCATTATCTCCCAAAGGGATGCTTCCTATGCCATCCGAAGACCCTTTAGGTGGGGTGTCATGTGCATCACCCAATTTTTTCTTCCTTAGTTGTAGCCTCTAAAAGAATAGAATATTTTTTTCCCATGTTCACATGCAAGGAAGATGCTGATTTTGAAGCTGTAGTTTCAGAGTTTGCTGAATTAGGGACACGTTTGGGACATATGTTGGTAACCCATATGAGTTTTACGTGTACCCACTTCAAAGGTAGATGCTGCCACAACAGCTACTACTTTTTCACTCATAGAAACCTTATTTTCCTTATGGACCATGTAATGTAAAACTATCTAGTAGTTCAATTCATTTACATCCGCTTTCGATGGAAGAGGAAAATCAAAAGTATCGCCAAAGTTAGCAGTCTTAGTAAGATCACCTTTTTGGTAGGTTTATCATTTCAGGAACCATGTTATTTTTCAAACATGCCAAAATATTTCAAGCAAGAGTCAATGAGTTAGGTTTTCTGTTTTGAAGTAGCTCCTCAAAAAGATATTTGTGTTTTAGCAACTATTGGTTTTCTTTTTTAAGCCTGGTGAGCAATAGTAACATAAGAAGCCATAGTTTTTAGTGTTTATATCACATACATAAACAAATTTCCATAATATGTAAAGTAATGCTCTGTAAATTGTTCATTTAAATATTAAAATCAACTATATCATGTGCCATTTCACTTAGGTATGGGTCAGTGTGGTAAACTTGATGTATGGATGGTTTGCAGGGTATATAATATGTGTGGAACACATTAAATAAACAATCCAACTGGAAATTGAAAACAATCATCAGAATTGGAGGAAAAAAAAGAAAGAATGAGTGAAAAAAGCCCGAAACAATTGACAAACCTAGAAGCAAAGCAAACAACTGTGATTCATTCCATCTCCAAAAACCGATTATAAATAGCTACATGATTGAGGAAAATATAACGTATGTTGAGACTATTAGTAATTAGGAGTATATTCCGATTTTTTAACTGCAAAAATGAAAGGGAATTCAGACAACGTTCACCCACAACCCAGAAAACTCGCAAATCGCGTAATCCAATCATGTATTAGCATTTATATTTAAAATTAATGTAAATCAATTACCTGATTTATTTTGGAGAATCTGGAAATCAAGAGAATTCCACAGCAACGCATCTCGTGAATCACTCAAATTCCGGAATGAAATTCTATCGCCACTCCAGGTAATTAATTCGATAACAATTGAAGGCGTTGAAATCATGAGCATTTACTCCTATCCGTATTGCCTGAGAATTAAATTGAATGGGTTGTGTTTCTTTGGATGGTTAAGTAAATGGATATACCAGTATGTTCGTAGGAATAGACGGAGTATACGGAGAATGCATAATTATAACGGAGATAGGGGCATACTAGGAAGTATATTGCATGGTACAACTCTAAAAGCTAAGAGTACATACTTTTTGGATGGAATGGTGCATATTGTTCTTTGTTTAGTACCTCAAAATGAAATTGGCAATATCTAGAATATACTTGACGATATATTTCCAATTCATAGTAAGTCAATAAGAATAATGGGAGCAGTTTATCCTAGGGTGTATGATGATTACAGTTTAAAGCAACTGGTAACTTTAAGTGGGGAACATTTTGCACCAAACACCTCAAAAAAAGTGGGTAATGCATACTATCTATTTCGATCACAACATCCATAAAGTCTTCCAGTGAGAATCTGGATTCAAATATTCACATTTATACAAAAAAAACTATGTGTAAAATGATTGAATATAGTGAAGCAGGTTTTGAATTGGGAATAGTAAAGCTTAAAAAATATAATTTCTAACCTCTATATACTAAGTACTTAATCCATCTGAAAGGTTAACATTCAAATTCATTATTCCAAAATCATAATTCCTACCGTAGGCAGAAGAGAAGCAAATACTTGTAATTATATACTCCGTACTTCGTATAAAGAATGAGAAGAAATTTGTTATTGATCTCATGAGAATAAAAAGGAAAAAATAGTGAGAAAACATGCACAAGATGGAAATAAAAAACAGAACATCTTGGCGGGTTTATTTGATTGCACTTCTTACCAAAGCAAACCCTTGGGCGTGGCAAATGAGTTGAAGAAGTGGAAAAATCTTATGCAGCCGAGGGTTAACTTTCCCCGATACCCTCTGTCCTGTGTTGGTCTCCAATTTTAAGGCACACTACCATAACCTATAAAAAAATTGAACTCTGTTATAGAATCAACAGTTGCAATTTTTTCAAGAGTTTTAATTTCATTATCACACTATAACTACTCTATTATAGTATCAATTGTTATCACACCATAACTGAACTATTAATCTATTTTAAAGGTACTACTACATGTACAAATCAATTTGTTTGTCAATAGAAGCAGATAAGTGGATAATTGTTTTCAAAATAAAAGGAGGTTTAATAGATTAAAGTAAATATATTGAATTAGAAAACAAAGTGTGTGGTACAACCATCTAAGCTAAAATGAGTTACAGTTGACTTGAAACTCCTACCCACTAGAAATCATATTTACAAAATGTATAGCAGGATTGTCACATTCGTCAAAGCTTTAATGACTATTACACTAAAATCCATGAATGTCAATGATCAAGTTTTTAAGTAAGAAGAGGTGCAGATGGAAATTGATTTAATGGGCAAAAAGGGATCCAAATGGACCAAGATAAAAAGGATCCTATTCTTTACTAACCAACTGTGTTGTTTGAGATTTCTTTGGAATTGGAATATAAATAAAATTCTCTTTGGCAGTTCCATATTTTCCTTTCCTTGTACTCCTAGTTCTCCTAGGTCTAACATCATCAAAATCATGGAATGGGAAAAACTGCCCAGTATTTTTTCACTTCCTTGCCATCTCAGAATCCTAGAAATTAACTGCAATTAGTTTGCATTTTGCAACATGGCTTTGCATGAAACACGTAGACCAGTAAAAGAGGATTCTTTCATACTCAATTGTTAAATAGAAATCTACATCTTCTTTACCAACTCAGTAGAAGTGCCAATAATATTTTCTATATTAGGGGTGTAATAATTCCATTTTCACTCTCACTCTAGTAACATGAGTCTTAGTATGATTTAGTGACATAATTAAACCTTAGAACTTTACCAGTATGCCTACAAATCTTCATGCTGGCTATTTACTCGACCATGTTGTTTTTTATATGGGTGATCATTCTGCCATATAAACAAATTTAGCATAATAAATTTCAAGACACAATGGACAATTGGTTATTACACATAATATATTACACAATAATTGCGCAAGAACTCTCTAACTCCTAACTTCAATGGAAGTGAAGGGCCCATTGTCCATTTTAAATTAAATTATTACTCTCAAAAAAATTGAATATATAAAAAAGCAGTAAAATCCCACTTGTAAACAATTTAAAATTGAATTTCAAATCATTTATAAGATTAGAAGGGTATAAAATCAAAATATATTTACAAAGATTCACATCATTTTGGTCATGTGAAAGTGGAATTGAATACTAACACAGATCATCTACAAAAAGATTTATGAAATTGGTGATCACATTTTCCTCTAAAATTCCACATCTCTTTACTCAGTGAGGCTCTAATAATTATTTAGCCCAACAAAAAGATTAGAAATAGGCCATCAAGAACGCATACGATAAATGTCTGTAAAGAAAAAAAATCTTTATAAACAATTAATCTAAATAAGATTAATATTCTCTAAAATAAATTTGTCAAACATGACAAGTGAGGTAAACGTGATAAATGTCATCCAAATATAGAAAGTCCTGGTCTATGGTCTATGGATCAGAATGCAGCCTAAGCTGAAATGCATATGACTGTCATTCGTGATCAAATAGTGTTCTTGATTAATTACTGGATCTGAAATTAAATTCTTACAACTAAACAAGACATGATGATCATTTGTTGAATAATGGCTGGAGATATTTAATGCTTTCGAATATGAGCATGTTGGGATAGTAAAAATGTAAAACCAGACTTAAAGGAATTCATGAAGATCCACAAAAAAGGATGACTTAGTCCATTTCATTAAAGGATACCTTTGAATATGTAAAGTTTCAAGGGGTCTTTTCAACCTAAAAATCAAATTCTAATAATGGTCATTAATGGAGAAAAGATGCAGGACAACATGAGACAACAAAAGTCATAGTGATAGCAAAACAATATTCATAGTGAGTAAAAACTAAACATGATAAGTTTAAATTTGAATAAAAATAATTGTTATACTAAAAAAATCACTTGAGGTCTAATCCAAGAAGAACCTACTACTAAAGCTAATTACCACTTACAAGATAAATCTTTCAAGATTCTAACAAATGCAAGCCCTAATGAACTCGTTATCAAATCAAACAATAAAAAATGATAGCTGCATAAATAGAAAAGATTTTCTTGAAAACAATACCCTACAAATATCATTTTATTTTCATATTAATAAACAGAACCAAACTCTAAATATTCCTACAATGTCAAGTTTCAAGAAAATTTTATGAGAGAATGCAATTATTCTACTTTAAAGTCAAAATCTTACTCATTCTTACTCCAAATGATCCTCTAATGCTCGAGAATTTAATTAAGCATTGTACATAACAAGTTACTACATTCCAAAAAATACTAAAAATGAATGGACAACATTCAGGCAAAATTATCATCATGTTCGACAACAAAATCACTAATAAACAATAAAATTAGAAGATAAATTTTCTAAACTTTAAAGGAAAACCTGATTTTTATACTAAACCTATACTGAGATTTTGAGAGAAGTTTGTCTTCCTCGGCGTAGCCACAATATGCACTATATTTTAAAAAAATTGACAAATTAATGCAATAGAGGAATAACATAAAACACGAAAAGTGCCAAAAAAATGAATACCTTAGATGTATAACAGATCACGCTAGGATATGATTTCAATACGTATACTATAAACCTCATACAGTGATTATAAATAGGTACACTGTAAAAAATTGAAACGTATAACATATAATCTAATTCAGAAGAGAGAATCGCTAGCGCATTACCGGATTTTTTGTGAATCTGAAATACTAAGCAGCCAAATTTGGGATGACCAGGTGCTGCTCAGCTTGGCGAAGAAAAAATGGAGGAAACGGCTTCAGCGTAATTCATTTTCTAGCTGATAATAGCTCATCAATCATTGTCTTTGAGGAGGAAGGCTAAACACACAAAACTAAAATGAATAAAAAATCATTCCGCATGGCATAAATGGACATAACGGCGTAGGGTTAAAGTGTGAATTAAAAATCTAAGTACAAGATCCAAAGCTAAATGTACTATTTTTTGGATGGAAAAAGAGCATAATATTAAGAAGTGCCTAACCCTCTTTCACATTTATATAATACAGAAAGATTCAATATTTGTATGACTGAGGCAAGAGATACAAAAAGAATAAATAGTGAGGGCTGTAAAGGCAAAAGTAATTACGCATTCGGTGTACAGGAAAAACAATTAAATTAGAATTCTAAAGTATTTGTCAATTTCATTGTTTAGTTCAAATATTAATTCAATAGAGCTAAATTCTAAGAATTAACTCATTTATGATGAAAAAATACTGATCATATGATGTAAATAAGTCAACTCATGCAAGTAAAAACTGTGAAGTATTAAACCATAAAAGAATAGTAGTACGGTAAATATTGTTACTGCAAGTTTGAAGATATCCATACCAGAAAAATAGCAACACCACTTGATATAGAAACAACATTAAAAATCAGAGACATTGATGAGTTTGTATGCTGTGAGTAAGATTATATGAGCAGATCATATCAGAATCATACCTAAGAAACACTAAGCACATGTAAAAATTGAGAAGGTAGAAGATATATAACCGAGCAAAAAACTGCTGGTTTGGGGCCCCCAACACCATCTATTTTCCAACCTAAAAATTACACCTTAAATTGAAATTTCCAACAGTAATTTATCATTGTATAAAACTATAATTCTTCAAAAATCAAATATCCAACAAATCAAACAGCACCAAGCTAACCAAATAATCTATATACAAACAATATTCACACTTTCAAAAATCCCTAAAAATTGGAATTCAATAAATATATAGAATATACAGAGAAGATTATTAGGGATCTGGATTAGAGATGCATTGGGTGTACCTCGTCGGAAATAGACAGCGGCAGTGGCTGGGAACTTGAACTGTGAGCGTCGAGACGGCGACCTAGAGCTCTGGTCGGAATCTGCAACTCTGTGGACCTAGTGTTTTGGTTATAACAGGGAAAGAAATCAAAGGGATTAGCTACCCGAGGCTGAAAGCAACTACTTTAGGGATTTGGAGTTCTGGCTAGAATAAGCGAAGAGGGTGAGGGATTAAAGCTACACCGATTTTTGGGGAGAAATGAAAGCGGTTGAAGATCAAGAATTCTTAAGCTGTGTGATCTTTTTAGGGTTACAGCTGGGGCGGTAAGAAACTAACGGAGGTTACCATCAACTAGGACAAATAAGGAAAATTTAGACATGTACAACGTCTAAAGCATAAAAGTACAAATATATTGGATGGAAAAGGTGCATCTTTACCCAGGGTACCAAACCTTCTCTCCCATTTATAGATTATATATATATATATATATATATATATAGAAGATTTATATATTATAGAAGATATATAATGGGCTGATACCCAACGGGTAGCCCAAACGCCATACCCGAAAGGCGTTGGGTCACACGAGCTAAGGAATATTAAATCTGGGCCGGACCAAGACGTTGGGCCCAAGCCAATCCAATCAAGGAAACAGCTGGAAGACACAATCCGCGAGAGAGATTCAGCGAAAGGTGGGGACGTAGCCGGAGAAATTAATATTAAAGTAATACTCTATATATGTTCAGCCTAAAGTTAGGCAATATGCTCACATATCTGTCGACACTTCCGTTGTCTCCAATTTACGCCTCACATCTCAGTCGCTAGATTTTCGTTTCTTCCGTAGTCTTTCTCTCATCCTCCCCCAAACTTCATATTCATGACTTTCGTCTTGTATTCAAATTAAATCTCCATCTTGTCGATGTTTCTTAATTATCCAGTTTCTGATCATTTGTTTTCACCGTCAAATTACTTGATTTTTTGGTTCGTTCAATCGAGGATCATATTTTAAATTATTAAATCCAACTTCAGATAATAGCTCGAGAGAGGAGATACAGGCTGGATTATCATTGATCTGAAGTTTTCACATATTCACAATGATGATTTTTAAACATTATTTGGTGTTTTTGTGATATTTTTAGTGAAATTTGCACTGAATAGAACTAAAACATAAGTTATTTTTCAATGTAGGACTTTAACGTTGTTATTTCCCAAATAGGACTTAATAATGACTAGTGAGAAGAATAATGTCCAAGTGATGCGGGACATTTAGTTGAATAATGACTAATAGATAAAGACCAATGGTCCTACATTGAGAAATAAAAACATATGGTCCTATATTGAGAAAGTCATTATGTTTTAGTCTTATTTAGATAAATTGCCCATATTTTTATACTTTTCGCCATAAGATCTATAGATCTGAATTACTACAAGCCAGATCTCATATGTTTTCTGCATGAAAATGGACAATGAGTATATATTTTGAGGTAATGTTTGATATTCAGTACTTAAATGTATTAGGAATAATAGGTGTATTAGAAAATAGATTATTATTATTATTATTTATTACTTTCCTACTTAGATTAGAATTCTCTATTGTAATCCATATATATAGAGACATATCCTTCATCATGATGTGTTGCGCGATAATGGCGTTGCACCTAGAGACGGCCAGCGCCATCTATGTCTACAGAAAGGTTGTTAGGATTAAGAGTTGGATCCCGGGTCCGTATCCACTACTGGCCCATTGTCGATCCAAATCAGATGATCTTGGAGAATGGACGATGGCTTGGAATGCGAAGCGTGACATCAGCTTCAAGACCAAAGAATACTTAATAATTCAAAATTGGTTTTCATAATGTATGTAGTGGTTTAATTATTACTACCTCCTTCCCACTCTTTTTGTCCAATTTTGACTTTTGGAACTGTTCATCTACGCACTTTGACTCATCAAATTCTTTCAATGTCTAAGTCTAAAAATAGTCATGTGTGATCTTGTTTGATTTTTCTTAACATATAGATTATTAATATATAATTTTTATAATTTTTTAATATACAAGTTACAAGATAAAATGGATTAAAGAAGTGCATTGGATGATGTGCAAAAATGAAAGTGGACAAAAAGAGTGGGACGGAGGGAGTATTTTGAAATAAAAATAATGATTATTTTTCTTTAGCTCTTTTTTGTTCTGTAACTTGTAATGATTATCTTACACCTTAATTTGGGAATTTTTTTGATAATGTACTGATTTAAGTCATTTAATTTTTATGTCTTATTTAAATTATTCTTTTGCATAATCAAAGAAAAAACTATACGGAGTAAAGCTTTTGAAATAAGTAATTTCTAATGCAAAATTAATTAACATCGTTAGTCTTATTTCATTTTTGTTATTAGTTTGATATATAAAATGTGATGTATAATTATCTTTGTTTAGTCAAGCCATTGTTAGATTATGTAAGTTCATTTTTTTTGTTCCAATCAAAACTAATAAAAAGTATTGCTTCATTTGTCTCTTTATTTTTATAACTTTTATTAGTGGCATGCAAATTATATTAGGAAACAAAAAATTATACAATTGATATTGATTTTAAAAGTAAAAAAATTACTAGAACTTCTACTTTGGACTGATCTTGTTTTAATTATATTATTAATTCTATTGTAAGCATCTCCAAACACTAGGATAAATTTCATGTATGGTACACCAACTTTGACGTTTATTTCACTTCGTAATACCAACTTTGTTTTCTTTCAGAAAAGTACTCCAACTTAACACTTTCTTTCACCGATGGTATTTTAGCGAGTTTCCAGGTTAAAATCCGATTACATATCCTACGTGGATGCCTATTTGGCGCACCCAATTCTACGTGGATGCCTACTCTTCTAATTTTTTTACAATATTCATCATTTTTAATATAAAACTTATATAAATTAATGCAAATAGTTTTTTATTAATAAAAATAGATAAATAATTATAAATAAAATAAAATTATAAATTCAAAATTAACAAAAATAAATAAAAAGATTAAAATTAATTAAATATTAAATATTGGAATTAAAAAATAAAATTGAAATTAAAAAATTCAAAATTGATTACATTAAAGAAGGGTTTAGAATTAAAACAAATGAAATTGGAAAAAAAATTAGGAAAAAATAAAAATATTAAAATTAATTAAATATTAATTATTGGAATTAAAAAATAAAATTGAAATTTAAAAATTCAAAATTGATTACATTAAAGAAGGGTTTAGAATTAAAACAAATGAAATTGAAAAAAATTGAGGAAAAAATAAAAAGATTAAAATTAAGGAAATTGAAACAATAAACAATAAAAAGATAAAAACAAATGAAACTGAAAAAAATTGAGGAAGAAGAAATCTACCGCTGCTGAGATCTGCCACTGCTGAGGAAGAAGTCCACCCGGAGGAAGAAAAAATTTGCCGCTGCCGAGGAAGAAGTCCACCCGGAGGCCTTCTAAAGCTTTCCCCTTTCTTCTGAGATCTACCGCTGCTGCCAGCGGCGTTCCCGGAAAACCGCCCACCATACTTCAATTCTCTTCCGCCTCGGAAGAAATTACGTTTCTCTCCGCCTCCGAAGATTCCCCTCCATGAATTTGAGGTTATGGAGCGGCGAGAGGGTGGAGCGACGGCTTGTGCGGTGGATTTGGACGGCCGAACATTTCAACAGGGGATGATGGGTCATAGGAGAGAGGAGAGAGAAGAAGGGAGTGATTTAAATTGGTGCGCCAAGTAGGCATCCACGTAGGATAGGTAACCGACTTTTAACCTGGAAACCGGCTAAAATACCATCGGTGAAAGAAAGTATTAAGTTGGATTACTTTTCTGAAAGAAAACAAAGTTGGTATACCGGAGTGAAATAAACGTCAAAGTTGGTGTACCATACGTGAAATTTACCCCCAAACACTATGTGGTGGAGATCTTAAAATTACTTTTATTTCTTTCTTTAAATGAGGCGGCACACTTGTTGGTGCATGCTTCTCATTCTATTGAGACTGTATGGGAATGGATTGGCTCACTCCCGGACTTTATCTCCATGGTTATTTAATATATCCTTCAAAAAATAGAAGAAGCATGAGTCACTCTTGTTGGACATGAGTTCAAACCTCCTTCGCATTTTTTTGGATTATTTTTTGTTTTGATGAATGACAAACAGGATGATTAAATTCAATCAATATTCGAAAATTTATTCGGATCGAGAAAAGCAAAGAAGGGCATCAAGAAGTTTCGTCGATAATTCACGCTCACCCCTACGCAGTTTTTTGAAGTGAAGCGAAAACTCCGAAGACTTTTTATTTTTATTGAGTCTAGGAATTTTTTTTGTAAGGATGACAATATCTTCTCCACAAAACAATTTAATTTCTGAGGGATAAAAATTATTTTTGAGTCAGTTGAAAAATCACTTTTTCTCTGTCTAAAATACTTTAGTGAGTCAGTTTCAAAATAAGTGTGTCAAAATTTCTTTAAAACATTTTTAAGATTACACAATTTTCTTTGGTGAGAAAAATATACTTTAAATATTTTTTCGTGTATTGTTTGACACACAAAATATTTTTTTGGACTCTCTTTTTCTCTCCCCT